AATTTTTAGCGTGTTTTTACAATATTTATTTAAAAAATAAAGTATTTACATTAGTTTTTATAGTAAAATTAAAGAAAATAAAAAGGGCTCATTTTATCAAAAACAGCGCGTAACATTTTTGAGATCAATCTGGAAACTCAACCACCATATGATCAAAATAAAAATAGAATCTATAAAAAATCTACTTTTAGGATTTTCAATAATACTTTTAATAAAGTTTCTTGCAGATGTGTGCCCTTTATTATACCGATGTTGATAAGATCCATGCTCCACTTGTTTATAGGGCGTCATCAAAAATGTTTCTAAAGCGTAACCACTGTCTCCTACAAGCCAACTATTTTGCATACCATTTCCTCTTTTGTTAATGCTGCCTAGCTGCACTCGTATGTCAAATAAAAGCATCATGGCTGGATCCTGGTCTGCAGCTGTCCACAGCTTGCACACACCTTGTCTTCCAGGACTTTCATTACTCTCCACAATATTTTACACATTGTTGTGCGATCAACACTTATATTTGAATCATTTGTCACTACCCTCTGAAACCCACCAACAGCCAGAAATCTTTGCTGCTAACTGCAGGCTTTCGGGAATGGTACCCTTGTGTATGAAAGGACCAACTTCTCTCAAAATATCCATAAATGCTTATTTTAACACGTTCCAGTATCATTAGACTTTTTCTGGTAGAAACCAGGCAATTAATAAGCCAGCAGGCATATTTTTTCTTAATTTTGTTGTTAAACAAATTGCAAATTCCAATGAAACATATTGAACACAGCTATGCTTTCGAGCCGCACTTTCGCTCGAAATTGAGCAAACCATTTTGCACAACATGGGAATTTAAAAAAGTATGGGAATTCAAAAACTCTCGGAACATGTCACATGGGCGATTATATGAATAGTGTTCAGAAGTGTTGCCAATGTCGAGATTCCCTCATTTTATGAACGCAATCCATAAAACTTTAAATACTGGTTTCTTATCAAAGAGATTGAGAAAGAAAAAAAATCAGATTTGTTGTGCGTGGTGGTTTTTTGAATGACACAGGGAGAGAGAGAAACTCTAACTACTCTTTGATTTTCTGTTATTAGCTAGTCGAGATATGTCTTTCTTTTCTTGTCTTGTTCTCCTTATTTATTTACTTACGTGTTCTTTTTTACGTCAGTGAAGCCAATTATTCCAAATATAAACACACTCGGCTTGTTGCTCTTGCACTTGTTTGACAAATCAACACTTGATTGGTGTATTGTATTTTGCATATATACAAACATAATTAGGAAAATGCATATGTGAATTTTATAAAATCAATGCAGAGTTCGGTAGCAGTGAGTGAAATAAGGAAACAATGGAATACAAAACTAACCACAATCTAGAGATAGGCGAGACGTTGCAAAACTAACAGCCAGCAAGTGTGGTGAGGGAGGAAGACAATACCAAAACAAAACACAGTCGAACAAGGAATGGTTGCTGTGTTTTTTTCTTGAGAGAGGACAAATAAGCGCAATAGTGGTAAAGTAGAGCGGAGTAGGTAAAATAATGGCTTTCTCATGGTTTAAAGAATTATTACTTGTATTCAAAGCATGGTACATGTACAATATGGAAAAAATAAACTATGAATGAAATTATGAAAATATAAATTTTTTCTGTGTAATTTGTAAACACGATACAGGCCACAGTTATGGACAATCGTCACGAAATTTTGCATGTAGGATGGGTTATGTCCAAAGAAGACACGTATTGTAATTTTAGTAATGATGGACAATTTTAATTATTTTATGAAAAAATTTGGTAATTTTTTATTAACCCATTAAGAGCCGATTTTTTTTTTAGAAAAAAACTTAAATTTTTAGGTGAAAATTACTATTTTGAAGCATTTGAAATATTTTATAATAAGCAACGTTATAACTAATAGTACCCCTAAAATGGAAGCTTCTTTTAAAAAATCCGAAACATTTGGAGGGTAAAAAGTGGGTTAAGGGCAAACACTATTGTTATTATATATATCTTTATTATTGTTAATATTACATATCTAAAACATTAAACTATTATTATATTTGTGCTACGAGACAAACTTGATATTTTTGGATCAGAAGAAAATAGCACCTATTGAAAAGATCCCTCATTGTTTCCTCACGACTAATTTTTCAGGTGTACATTTCCCTGTAGTTCCGAAAGTCCTTATTTCTGGATTTCATGGCTTCTTCAGACAACATTCCTATGGGTAAAGCTGCACTAATATTTTGTGTATGCTTGAAGGCATATAGAACCAAGAATATAATTCCACGAAATAATAAATGCTTCCTCAGTATGTTCTTTAAATGACTCTGCTTTAATAGCATATCCACAGGCCATGGTTGAAAGGATGGTACTAAAATTTTTAATTAATTTTTCATCAACACCAGTTATCGACGATGCCAAGCCAGGTTGGCTAAAAAACGCCTAGCAGTATTGCCATCGTTTGTTGTTCCGGATACTGACTTAGTTGTGTCAACAATAATGTGCATTTTTTCCTTCAAATCATTAATGATACGTGCCTTCCTTTCTTCGAAAAGTGGCCGATCGGAGCTATTAATTTTCCACGTTTTCAAAACCAGTCGGTATGAAATGTGGAATATACATTCTAAACATCGAATCCTTGCATGTGAGGTAGACAGACCGTATTCGTATAAGTTGATGTTTGGGGTTAATGACGAAATTTTGTTGTTATCATTCATTACTTTTGTTGTTGCACCGCACCATAAATGTAGGTAAAACCGTGTATATATGATTGTTACACCAATGCTATTTTGTCAGGGTTCATAAAGTAGACCCTTTACCTGGGGTATTTTAGAAGACTCTTACAACCGATTTCGTTGTAATTTCAATTTTTATTTAGAACGACATTTGGAATAAATGTATATTCAGTGCATGAGTTTAAAATCAATGTTTGGAGCCGCTTACTTTAATACCCTCATTTTCATACTCACACCCAGTACTCTGGAACCTTAGGATGGGCATTTTGAACTTGTTTTTTCTTATCTGCTATGCTGTGATCTATTCCAAGTCATATTTGATGAATTATATAAAAAAATCACAAATTTTTAATTTTATTTGAACAAAACCTTAAAAAAGCTTCCTACACCAAATTGGCATTTTTTCAAAAAATTGCCATAAATCCGAGAGTCGCAGGAAAAAATTTAGTATGATGTCCTAGACAGACACACAAGAAAAATAAAACAAAAATCAACGCTGAACTCGACTGCACTCCATACTAAACCCCTATTTTAATTGAAGGAATTAAAAAAACGGACCTTACACATATTTAGCCCGAAACACCTAAATTAAAATAACATATGGGTTATATAACTATACCATTTAATTAAATACCAATACTATATATCAAAAATGGACAAAATTTTATAATAATATATTCACAGAATGCACACGAGCATCGCAATTTTATACCTAAAAATGCCATTTTTAACATTGGAAAAATGTTCTATTTTAAATGTACCGTTATTCCGTTGTAGCTTATTAATTCGGATTATTTTATACGGACTTAAGTACTCTCAACACTCTACTTTAAAACTGCATTAATGTTTTAAAGTTTTCTTCAACTTCATTTTTTGATTTTCTGCTCGCTAGATCGGTATTTTTTTCCACTGTGCAACACTTACATACAGTAGCCAGCCATGAAAATGCAAAGCTTTATGATATGTAATTACATTTGCTTTAAAATAACCGTAACTAATATATCTATTTTTTTGCTATTTATTATTTCAATTATAAGATTTCAAAGTAACCATAGTTCGTTCCGATTTCGGTTTGCAAAAGTTAATCATAGTTTTACTCGCCGTTAAATTACATTTTACATTTTTTGTGCTCTCTACTGTATATTCTTGATAGGAATTAAATCGATTTTCTCGTGACCGTCTGTCTGTCTATTCGTCTGTTAAATTCACGATATAGATTGCAATATTTTAGATATAGCCCTGAAATTTTGAACAGACATTGTCAGTATTCCTAGGATGTTTGGTATTGCAACTGGGTTACACCTGTTCACGTTTTTGTGTAGCCCCCAATGTTACCATCAACCAAATATTCGGTATTTTGGAAACGTTTTTAACCGAATTGCTGTAATTTGGTAGTTCGGGTTCTCATTGTATAACTTATCCCTTAATATTGGGTATTTTGGCGAATTTTTTACACGTTTTCACGTAAATTGGTATTCGCATTGGAAGTCAAATCTCTCTACCAAAAATTATTAATATTGACCCAAGTTTCATTCATATTCAGTATTTTGGCCATTTTGAACAAGGTTCCGATCAAATTGCCTGTAATTTGGTTTTTCGGTTTCACATTGTATATCACATCCTTGTACTAAAAATTATTAATAATCCAAGTTTGAGGGTAGCCCCTTTTTGACACGTTTTCAACCGAATTGGTTGTAAAATGGTATTTTGTATTCTCTTTGGAAGTCAAAAAACTTTACCAAAAATTATTAATATTGACCCAAGTTTCAGGGTAGCTTCAATATTCGGTATTTTGACGATTTTGTACATGTTTTCCAACCAAATTGGCGGTAATTTGATATTTCAGTTTCTCATTGTATATCACATCCTTGTACTAAAAATTATTAATGACCTAAATTATTTATATTGACCAAAGTCGGTATTTTGGGAATTTTGGACACGTTTTTCATGGTTGGTATTTTGTATTAATATATCGATCCCCGTTTTTGGTATAGACCTATATAACAGTAGCCCCACTATTAGGTATTTAAATCATTTTTTTCTCACGTCTCGATATAATAACTTGAGTTTTTTCCTGGGAGACTACATTAATGTTAAATAATTTGAATGTCATACTCATGGATAAGGGTATAAAAAGTTGCTTAATGATACATTGTAACAAATGTAATAATTGTATCAAAAATCAATGAGCACAAAAAAGTACGCTTTTTAAAATGGAATATTAAAAATTTGGAAATATTGTCCATGTATAGATATGAGGAAAGTGGTCTTACCTGTATTACGGTTTTTCGCGGTCCATTATTATTTATTTTGGTTTGCAGAGCTGATGATTGTAACTGCGTTGGCAAGGATATTGCTAGAGGTTGTTTTTGTACTAATTTATTGTAGTTGGAAACATTATTTGTATTATTAACTTTTACAATGTCCAAAGTATTTTTCAGTTTATCTTTATTTGATGACAAATAGCGCAAACATGATTCTTGGTTTGCGTCAGTGTTGAAAGCCTGGTGTTCGTCCATATATATAAAGCTATGTCTTGCGTTCTTATTTTTATCGCCCGCAGAAGAAATATTTTGGTCGCTAAACTGAGACTTGCAATTGGAAATAGGTAAATTGGAGCACTTAGACTTATTTTCGAATTTTTTCTTGCTATGAGACGAAATTTTTTTCCATGAAAGTGCATTCATAAACAATGAGTGTTTTTTTAAATTTTTTTCCAACGTACTCTTTTCTGTCAATATAATTGAGTTTTCATTATGTATATCTAATTCATTATTTATGGTATCCTTCGTGCTGTTGTTTATTTGATGTAGATTGTTTGTATTTAAATTGCTTAATTTGACATTGGAACAACTGGTGTGGTTGTTATTACCATTATTCGAAAAATTCGCACAATTAACTTTTCTGTTTTCCCGATTTTTTGCATTATTCAATTGCTCGTAAGAGAAATTATTCAGTTGCGACTCATTTGAGTGGACATTTTCGGCGTTGTATTCCTTTTTCAATTCATTTTGTTGCCTGTATTGAAAGTAGTGCTGACCCGAGTAAATAGGATTATGACGATCCTTTGGGTTGATGCTCAAGACTGTTCCCATTGTATATATTTTTCTGTAAAATATATAAAAATATTGTAATTTCAAATAATATTTTTAAAGTTATTGTTCATAAATGATTATTATAAATAATTGTAATAATAAGAAGAAAAAACGATGTTGTCGTAACATAAACATTAAATTCTAACGACAACTATACGTTGAGAGATTATGTATACTCTTGCTAAGGAAAATGCGGTGAAATTTGCCAGTTGATTAAAAATTATTGATCGCCAGAATAAATTTTTAGAGAAAGTGTGTAAGGGGATTAAATATACCATACAAATATAAACACAAATTAAAGTTTGACAAGCAGTTGTGAGAGAAAAAACAGGGCATTTTCATTTCCAAAATCTGGTCGCCTTATATAACATCAATTAACAGCGACGTCAATAGCAAGAAAAACAAACGTAACGAACGGAATATGCCATACATTGCTGCTGTTCCTAGAACGATTGATATGGGATATATCCCGATCGATTGTAGGTATTATTATTTAAGAGTATAACATATTTGACCCGGCCTTTTTTTTTTTGGTTTATTGTCAACTAGCTGACCCGGCAAACGTTGTCTTACCTTAGCAATATTTTTGAAGCATAATTTTCGGCAATTTAGATTTGCTAATTCTCCAGTCTTGAATTTATTAATATTGGCACTAGTATCCGGGTAGCCCCCATATAATATCCGGTATTTGGTTATAATTTTACATTTTTGATGATCATTGAGTAGAAAATGTTCCTAACAATATTCGCCCAAGCTTCCGAATAGCTACATTATTCCATGCTTTGGGGATTTGAAATGAACCCATTTTGAACTATACTACATCGAATGAATTTTTAGCTAAAATCGCCGATGTTATAACAAATGGATGGGATATTTATATGGGGGATATTAAACATAATTGAATCTATGTTCACAATATTTTCCAATTATATCATGGAAACTACGGGATACCAGAAATATTGCTGGCAACTTTTCCAAAAATGTCCACCATAGGACATTGACATAACCAAAGGAGAATATCAATACACACGAATAACCCGTACTCACGATTTTTTTAAACAAACGTTGTATACAACAAAGCACGCGAAAAAATAATTTCAGCTACTCTTAAGGGAAATTTTTCTTAAGATCTCAAAACCCACGAACGTAAACCGATATTCATAATTCATGGCACGGTGCACACATCAGGAACAAATTACACGTAAGTACATAAAGTTTGGTCAAAAACCGGTAAAGTAGTTATTGAGTTTAGCGATGCAGAAAAATTTTATATATATGGAGATAAAAAAAAAAAATGGAGTGGAAAATAACACCTAACTGTTTGTGAACTCTAAATGGAATAAAGAGTTTATCATAGATTATCATGGTCTTAAATCACTTTCAACCTGTTGCAAACATGATGCAACATATTTACTTGCTAAACAACATTTGGTCTTTAATTTATATCTCTTTTTGCTCATATCCGTGTATCACAATATGTGTTAATTCTACGTGTTCCATTAAAACCGAAATGCATGTAATATTTTTATTTTTGGTATTAGAGCAATAAAGGCCATCGAACAACACACCCGGATGAAAATGCCAATCATCCTTCCAACAACTCCAACTTATGTGATATAATGTAAACCTTAAAACAACCCTTAATGTTTAGTAGTTTTTAGGTGTAACGTAACATTAAATCAGAACATTTCTAACATTAGGCAAAAAATCAATGATGGGTTGGACACCTCAATTATAGAAAATATGATTTGAAATATTATTACAAACGAACTTGTGATAAGATGATTACTTATTATTAAATAACAAGAATTAAAAAATAATTAGTACCGCTATCTTAAATTTTTTCAAGTTATTTTAATAATAACAACATGCAAAGACATTGTATTTTCCCATAAAAAATTACGACATTAATGTCACATATACTCGAAAATATACCTCCATACCAATCATAGAAACTCAAAAACCAAATAACTTGAAATACAATGACTTCATGTTTATTATAAACAAGAGTATGTTATGACTGAATAAGAAGAAACATATATATAGGAAGGGGTTTTTTAACGTTAATGTACTTAAATCAAACAAATTAGTTAATTTTGCGACACTAATCTGCAATTTTCGGTTCATAAAATGCATACAAAGAAAACACTGTTAATACAATGCATCTCGTATTTTTAGTTGTGATTGTTAACACATTTTCTGTTATTTGTAAAGGAAACATCCAATTTTTATGTCTGGAAAAGAGCAGTTTTTGTTTTAAATTTGAATTATTTTAAGTAGAGCAACAGAAAATGTATCGTATAAAATCAGATATATCTATTTATGCGTTGTTCATATTAAGAAAATTTATGGTTTGATACGGAAAACAATTTTTACTTAATTAATGTTTTATTAAGTACTCACCTAATATAGCTCCCGAATATGTTATAGCTTCAGACGAATGTTTTACTAATTAAAAACATTTCTAAATTATTGGATTCAGTATGGATACAATATTTGGTACACCACCAACTGGTTAAAATGTGCAATAATCGAGAAGTAAAATAAAGAACATTATATATGCGCACATCTAGTGAAATAAATAATAAAATTTGCTGTATTTCTTATTTCATTCACACTTTACTGATATTTGATTTTTCTTTAATAGCAAACGTTTGTCATGTTACATATAAATCGAATATTCTGCAAAGCCCTTTGTTTGCGCACAATCTTCACATGAAAATACAGATAAGGGTGAAAATGATTTTGAACGGCTAACTACAGCGCATGAGTAGTTAGAGGGTTGAAATGGACGTGGGTATGAAATTGTTAGCTAAACAAGATTGCTTATGTTAAATTCGATTACTCACAACAAAATATTTTAAGTTGAAGAAACACACATATACTACAGTCACAATAAACATAATTCCCATAATTCCAAAAATATTTTCTCGCAATATCATACGGAACTGAAGTTTACTATATATATAAAGTTTCTAATGTTCAATATAGCGAAAATGCGCTATTTCATATTGACACCAACTCAACCGTTTAAAAATTCTAATTGGTTTGTGATCGTAAATTTAATTTTTTTGTGTTAAATATTTATTAAAATTACTTTTCAACATTCAACAACTCACATTTCCATTTCAATAAAGAACCTGATCATGGTTCTAGTATCAACATCATTTAATAGAAGAATGTAAACAAACCATACAAGATATCAAAACATTTGACAGACAATGATAATACAAATTTCAGCCAATCCAGCTTAAAAATTCCCAAAATAATATGATATAAAAAATCATGAGAAATATAGGATTAACTAATGGTGGGGCAGGGGGATAGCCCCACTGGATCAATATTGAATATTTTCGGTAGAGAAATTTGAAAGGCAATGATAATACAAATTACAGCCTAAAATACCGACATGGGTAATTACAGCCAATTCGATTGAAAAACGTATCCAAAATACCGAATGTTGGGAGGTACCTTAATATGGGAGCTACACCTATGAGCTGACCGATATGTCGCATTTCCAATATTTCGATCTCTATCTGAAAAATTGCGATCTCTGTCGAGATTTCACTGATGGTAAATTTGTAGGATAAAACTGACTATTTCGAATAACGACAATCCCCTATACTATGGTAGAATACGCCTATATGGGGACAACCCCTACACAAGAACTAATCAGCTAACTATTTTAATATAAGAAGGGGTTATATGGGAACTACCCCTAAAAGGGGGCGAATATTAATAATTTTTGGTAGGAAGTTTTGTTACCATATGCGACTACAGAATACCAGATTACTGCAAATTATACTGAAAAACGCGCTAATGAACCCAAAAATAACGAAAATTTAGGATGTCTTATATGGGGGCTACCCGAAAAAATGGTTCTATATTTATAATTTATAGTGACCAAATTTCAGCGACATGGGTTTAAAAACGACTTAAACCCCCAAAATATCGTAAATTGGGAGGTCCTGTTATAAGGGGGCTAACAGAAAGAGTGGACCGATATTTAAAATTTGTAGTGGAGACATTTGGTATCCAAAAATAACACAATGTACCAAATTTCAGCGATTTCGGTTGAAAAACGCGCTCCAGAACCCCGAAATACCGAAAATTGGGGGTGCCCTTATATAGGGGCTTCCCGAAAAATGGACCTATATTTATAATTTTTAGTGAAGAAATCTAGTACCCAATAAAAACCCATTGTGCCAAATTTTAGCGAATTCGGTTTAAAAACGCGCTTAAAACCCCAAAAATAGAGTAAATTGGGGGTTATTGTTGTGTGGGGGCTACCAGACCGATATTTATAATTTTTAGTGGAGACATTTTGTACCCAATAAGAACCAATGTACCAAATTTCAGCGAATTCGCTTGAAAAGCGCGTCCAAGAACCCCAAAATATCGGAAATAGGGCGGTACCCTTATATGGGTACTAAGTATAAACGTGGACCGATTGGAACAGACGGACAGAAAGACGGAGGGACATGGCTAGATCGTCTGAAAATTGTACACAGATCAAGAATATATATATACTTTACAGGACCGGAAATGAATATTTCAATGAGTAACATACTATGGTGGAGAAAAAAGGAGGTTAAATGAGGACTACCCCAAAAAGGGGGAGAATGTTAATCATTTTTAGTAGGGAGATTTGTTACCATATACAAAATTTCAAATTACAGCGAATTCTAATGGAGAACGCTCTCAAGAATCCCAAAATTCCGAAAATTGGAGGTACCCCTATATGGGGGTATCCGAAAACGTTACCCTATATATTTTCGAACTTGACCTGCCTGCAGACAAAAGACAACCCGATGCAAAATTTTAGCACCCTATCCCAATTCATTCAGAAGATAGAGTGATTACAACAGACGGACGGACGGATATTTCAATGATTTACAAACGGAATGACAAAATTAATATACCTTGCATACTATGGCGGAGGGTATACAAAAGGGGTTTAACACTAGATTGCCGAGAGCAGTCATTTTGACGGTTTTTAAATTTCAAGT